CTCTTAAAATCGCAGTATGGTAACAGTCATAAATGACCCAGATATGCTTCAAAAACAAAACAAAAACAAGTGCTTTCACTTGAAAAGACATAGTAGCAGGTAAGCCTGTTAATAAACTATTTATATTGCAGCTGAAGTTATCATAATCATTTGAAATAGCTACAAAAAAACAGGGTTTTGTTCAGGCTCAACTCTTTATATATCAAAACACTATCACTAACTATCCAAAATAGAAAATTACAACTCCAGGGAAAAAAATCTACTAAAAACTTAAAATCCATTTCAAGGTATAAAAACGCAGGGGTGAAAGTAAATTCTAACACAGCTGTAGCTACACAGAACAACAACAAAAAATTAGATCTTCTTTTAAGTCCAAACATATGGCTATTAAATAGCTGTGAGTTAACATCCCCTGTGTAAAATCTGTAAAACTATAACTGTCTAATTAGATATGGAAAATACAAACTTACATTTAACCAAAAAAGGAACACCATGACTGACACCATTAATGTTTTGACTTTCGAAATGCCAAATCTTTAAGCAACTACAGGATTACTTTTTTGACAAAGATTTGATGTAGGTTTTTGCCCAATCCAAAAAAGCCTATCTTCTCTAGGTATTTAGGATAAAAATTAAGTCAATTAGGTTAAAATATATAAGCCCATTAGAAAAACAAAAATGTACAGCTTTTAATAGCCATCTACAGCTTACCTCTGATGACCTCAATGTCAATTAACTTTTTTGGTCCAACTACAAATGTGGTTATATATCAATACCCACATAAAAGAATAAATTAACAAAGGATGATACAGTTTAAACCTTCTAAATCAGTAATGGGACCATATGACTAATTAATCTAGAGAAAAGCAAATGGCCAACCTACCTCACCATCAAAATTTTGCTCAAATGTTACCTCCTCAAAGAAGCCTCCCCAACCCATTTAAAATTGTAACCCACGCCCTTCCCCCACATTCCCATATTATACCCTTAATCTGCTTTCCTCTAATCCCACAGCTCTTACCTAATATTATATACAGTTTGCTAATTTTACAAAAGATTTTTACTCATTTGACGGAGAGAGGGAACACAAGCAGGAGTGGGAGAGGGAGAAGGAAGCTTCCCGCCGAGCAGCGAGCCGGATGCAGGGCTCAATCCCAGGGGATCCCAGCACCCTGGGATCATGACCTGAGCCGAAGGCAGACGCTTAACGACTGAGCCACCCAGGAGCCCCTACAGTTTGCTAATTTAATGTCTCATTTACTGTCTGGTTCATCATGTTAGAATGGAAACACCAGGAGAGCAGCTATCTTTGTTTTATTCATTCGTATATCCCAAGCACTTGTAACTGCCTGTACATAGATTTTCAATAAATCTATATGCTCAATGGTGTCAATGTTTTAAGCTCTTCTAGAAGATTTAATTTAAAGACATGTCTCACAGATATTTAAATGAAAACTTACACTAAATTGCAGCATAATTTCCAAGTTGCAATGCCTTAAGAGAAAGAAGCAGTAGAAGTACTAAGCTGAAAATGACTAAAATAAGAAGTTTTTGCTCACATTTAACCCGGTATCCAAAGAAATTCTAATGTATTATTTCAGATTAGGAATGGGTAACAGAATGGGTAAACCCGTTATTTTTTTTAAACAGGAAAGGGAAGAGATATGGGTTAACCAGTGATAATTCCTAACAGTGCCATGAAATTACATAAAGTTAAAAAAATGACTTGGTCACAGGCTAACAGCTAATAAAAAATACCTTTAGATGAATGAGGGAGATTAACAACAACAACAACAGTTTCAGAACAAGTTTCTCAGGACTTTCATTCCTCTACTTAGCAGAAGTATGAGCACAATAGTTAAACCATGTATCCTCATTAGTGTTAACAGTTACTGTTTTCAAAGCATCTTCCCTTATATTATTTCATTAAGTCCTCAGAGAAACCAAATTCAAACTCAAGTATAAATAATCAGGTAGCTAACAAAAGCACTTAATAATGTATTCACTTGACAGTAAGTGCAACTTTTCCCTTGAAAATCCCCCACAGTGTTTGACAAAGAAACCATTCTATAGAAGAGCCACCTTCTTGGCAATGGAAACTAATACAAGTCTTCTGAAGAGTAATATGGCACAGCTAGCAAGAGCCATAAAAACCTTGGAAGCCCTTTGACCCAGTAAAACCACTCCTGAGAACTTTCTCTAAGGCAATAACTAGACTAAAGCCAAAAGCTATTAGTATAAAGATGTTTACTGCACCACTATCTGTAACAGTAAAGATGTGGAAACCCAAATCCCAACAATAATTGAATGGTTAACCAAAAACCTAAAACATATTTATAATACAATGCTAAAGAACAAAAAACAATACAAAATTACACAATTAAAGCTACATAAAAATGAAAAAGTAAAAGGCAAAAATAAGATTTTGATTAATAGACTTTAATATTATGGGTATGTCGTTCTAAGAGAAAAGACTCACCGTCTAAAACATATATGATAATTTAAGGCAGAATAAATTTTTGAAAGCCATGAAAAACCACTATTAAAAAAAAGTCAAACATGATGAAATGTTGTTTAAATAAGACATGTCAATTTCTAGACTTTCAAGAATATTTTACTACCTCTAAACAATGCATTTTCTTTCTTTACCCTTGGCCTCAGGGACTTATTTTAACTGCTGATACACACAAACATATGTGAGGAGATTCTAGAAATTATAACCAGTTTACAAAGAACCCAGTAGCAGTGGTTCAAAATCCAAAGGAACTCTACAAGTACATTAAAGATCTTTATAAGAATAAAAGTACACATTATATGAATCCAATGAACAGAACTTCACACATCTATCAAAAAGAACAAGGGCCAGAATTTATGTCTCAAATGAAAGAACTTAAAGCAAGGAAGAATTTAAATTAACCTTAAATGTAAAGCCTCAAAGAACAGAAAAAGACCTTTGGCACTAAAACATTCCAAATATTTTTGATCATTCAAGCCACTCTGGAACAAAATAATTTTTAAGCCTAAGGAGAGCCGCTGCAACTTAAAAGCCTAAGTTTTCATTTTTAATTATTTGAACAAGTTGAATATATCTGCCAAATTTCTATGATACCTAAGAAGAAAAATACCGTGGATTCTTTTCTATAAAACATTATGTATGTACAAAATTTGTCCATTTTTCACTGTGGATGCCACTGAGAAAGGGAAACTGAAGTTACAGAATCTTAAGTGGAAAGAGCTGGGAAAATAAGCACTTTATCTGAACTAGGTGGGGTAAGGTTAACGTTTGTGGGTGGTTCAGAGAAGGGGCAAGAGGGGAGGTAGGGCAGAAGTAAAAAACAAAAAAAATGTTTGCCCTTCTCCCCTTGAAAACAGAATTCCTTAAAAATCAGCTCTGATTCATCTCGACGGGTAACTTCTCCTGCCATAAATGAAAATTCTTTGGAAACGAATCGCTGAAAACCTGTTTTCAAAAAGAAAACTCAAGTGCGCGGAAAAAAAAAAAAAAATCCCCTTATCCCACTTTCTAAAGCCCAGGATGTCTATTTCAGGAGGACCCTCGTCATCGACTATGCCAACCCCGCCTAGGCCTAAGGGAGGCAAGGCAGTGCCCAACACGGATGGGCTCGGGGCACAGGGGAAATGGACTTGCGTGCCCTTGGTGAGCTCTGGCGGCACTCCCCAAGTTAAGGACACTGGCCACAATGGAATGGAGTCTATTGACATTTGCTGCCCCGTTTGAACACTAAGCATTTTCTTAGTTCGTGAAATACGAACTGACAACCACCACCCCACACACACACCCCCAACAGGCCTTCCCGCACAAACACACCCTCCAAAGTCAGACCCGGTTAGAGGGACAACCCAGGGCCCCCAGTTCCTACCACAAACCTAGGTTTATGGGGGAAGAGGAGGAGACGGCGCAAGTAAACACCCGCATTTCTGCCTTCAGGAACCCCACCATGTCTCCTGCTGCAATCCCTCTCCCCTCGAAATTTTAAAGACTGGGGCGGGGGTTGGGAAAAATGCGCAGCGTGCCCGCTCCCTGCCACCACCATCCCCCTACGTCCCCGATCTGGCCTGGACTTCTGACGCACGCCTGGGTCCGGCCCTCGCCCACCACTATTCAAAGGCGCCTTCTCCTCGGCGGCCTCGGAACAGCATTGCGGATCGGCCACCACCCGCGGCGGAGAGGCCTCGCGGGGGAAGGAGGGAGGCCGGGAGGGGGCCGGGCACTCCCCAGCCCTTCCTCAGGTGGGGGAGGGCGGAACGCTGCGGGAGACTCTGCACAGAGCCCGACGATTCCAGGAGTTCTGGAGCCCCCGACGCCGCCTCAGATTTAAGTGGGGAGGGGAGCGAGGGGCCACTGCCCACCCACCTCAATCCGGTTCTTCGACCTTTCCCAGGGCAGGGGAATGGGGTGGTTACGCACATTAGACAGACCCTAACGATTCCAGATGAGCCCCGTGGCTGCCCCTTTAACGGACAAGGGGGACGCTGCCCTAACTTTCCCCCTCCCTCGTTATTCCCCAAAGGGGGAGTTGGCAAGTTTCGGGAGACTGACCAAAACCTCAAGACCATTTCACGTTAATATTTAAACTGGGGGGGGGGGGAAGCGCTGCCCAAGCATCCCCTCCATGTTGGAGTTCAAGGAGGAACAGGGGCTGACAATTGGTGAAACCTGTGAATCCCTCCCGAACACTTAAATGGAGAGGGGGAGGCTGCCCAGTCCTTCCATCTTGACCGTTTGGGGGAGGGGGTGGGGATGATGCGGGAGGCTGGACACGACCTGACATTCCTGGAGGGATCCCGCAAGGCCCCCCACCCAAACCCCCGGGCTCTAGAAGGGAGCGGGAGCCCCACCCCCACTGCGGGCCCCTAGCCCACCCCACCAAGCCAGGCCGGTCACAGGGCGGGGACGACGGTGTGGGCCGCGGGGGAGGGGACGCGAGGCCTGAGCTCGTCCAGGCCTGGAGCGGAGGGGGCTGGGGCGAGACACCCACCTGCCCAGGCCGGGCCGCCCGCCGCCTGCGCTCGCCGCCGCCGCCGAGGAAGAGGAAGCCACGGCCGAGGACGATGAGACTGAGGACGGCGACGGCGCGGCGGCAGGCGACGTGAGAAGGCCGCCGCTGCCGCCGGGTTTACGGGCATTGGCGGCCGCGGGCGGCTGCTGCTGCTGCTGCTGCTGAGGCTTCAGCGACATGGTGAGGGGCCCATACACCGGCCCGCACGCCGGGCGGGGACAGCCGGGAGCCGGGCGCGCCGAGGAGACGCCGGAGCGCGGCGGGGACGCACGGGCGCCGAGCGGGGAGGCGCGGGATGGCGCGGCCGGGGGGGTGCCCGGGCCGGCGAGGGGGAGAAGGAGGACGACGAAGGGGCGGGGAGGCCCGCCGAAACCGTGGAGCCGCCGGGAGCCGGGCAGGGACGCGCCGCCGCCGTTGCCGTTGCTACCAAAACAGTCTGAGGCGGAGGGAGGCGAGCGCTGCCCGGAGGGAGGGGGGCCGGGGCCGGGCGGGGGAGGGGCGGCGGAGGGATACGGGCCCGAAGCCGCGCCACCGCCGCCCCGCCCGCCCCGCCGCGCCGGCCGCGGGAGCGAGCGCCGCCCGGGCCACCTGGCCGCGACGAAGCGGCGTGGCTCGGTGGCCGCTGCGGGGCTCCGAGGCGCTGCGACCGCCGAGCGCATCGGGGGTCGGGCACACAGAGGCGCCGCGTGGCGATGCCGGGTGGGCGCGGTGGTGCGGTACGGGGACTCTTTACCGGAAGTCGGAAGGGTCGGACGGAAGCAGAACGTGAGACGACCCCGGGGCCGGGAGGGACACGTGAGGAGCGGGCGCCGCGCTGGGCTGCGTTCGCGGGGGTCGGGTGAGGGCCCGGCCGGTGGCCCTGCCCGGATCCGCCCTCCTCGAGGCGGATCTGCCCTTCGGGAGGGCGTGTCTGCCTTCGCCCTCCGGGCCGGCCGAGTCTAGAGGACGGGAGGGAAGTGTTTCTTCCCCGCCCCCCAGTAATCCTTCGGCGTCCTCAGACTACGGGGAGGGTGCGTGTTTACCCCCACCTGATGCAACCTCGAACGTGGACTGCGAGGCCCTTCAGGGCGGAGATTCTGTCTTGCTACGTAAGAAGCATCTAGAACACAAGCATCCCATAGTTGTCTTTGTATCCGCAGCACCTGGCACACAGTAGGCTCCCACCGCGTCGCTGGATGTCTAAAATAAAGGCAGTCCTTCTCTTCCCTGCCAAGACCAACAGTCTTGGGAGTCGAGCAACCTCCCAGAGCACCTACATCTGGTTACCTTTTCCCCACTTTTTCCGTCTCAGCAGCACACAGTAGCCAGAAAACTCTTTTGGGTATCTGACCTTCATTTGAACCCATTTTCCCTCACTTGAACTTCTTTTTTTTCCTCATTCATGAGACTCAAAAGGAAATGTACGTGATTGGTAGAGCTATGGATAATGGGGTCTGCCTTAGTGGAGACAGAACAGACCTCACAAGAATGTGTGAACTTTAGACCTTGGCCCCTTTAGAAGTTTTACTTTAACTTAGATTGCTAGCCAGCACAGTGGTCCGTTTTTTAAATGTGTTGCAATTAAACTGGAAGCAAGTAGATTTTTTTTTTTGAGTGAAGAATTGAGTTTTTTGGTTGTTGTTTTTTTTTAAGTAAAATTACTTAAGGAAATGATTGGGGGGGGACAATAAAATTCCCTCAATCTAACCAGAATTGTCAGATAAAGGTAAAGACATAAAAAAAACTTGGAGAATGATTAAACCACTAGTCTCCAGTAGCTAAATTGAAATTAATCTCCTAGATAGTCCAGGCAAAAACTATCATTACGTTCTGCAAATAAGTGAAAAGTAGGAAATTAGCTTTATCTCCCCATCTGAGGTAAAAAGGTTGAGAAGAAAAAGTATTATTTTAAACCAACAGTTGCAAAATCCTTTAAAATTTAACCCAAAGGAAATTGAGATTAAAAAACCAGATGAGAGGGGCGCCTGGGTATCTCAGTCTATTAAGCCTCAGCCTTCAGCTCAGGTCATGATCACAGGGTGGTGGGATAGAGGCCTGCATGGGGCTTCCTGCTCAGCCAAGAGTGAGAACCCTTTCCCTCTCCCTCTGCCCCTACCCGCCTCGTTCTCTCCCTGTCTCTCAAATAAATAAATAAAATCTTTTAAAAAAAAAGAAGATGGACCATAATAGAAATACAACCAACTTTCTCTGGTTTGATGATTTGATACTTAACCATATCTGGACCCATGATCCCATCAACCTTAGCACCAAACTGTAGACAGGTGGGAGATAAAAGAGAAGAGGAATAAGAAAACCTGAAGCTGACAGCTGAACTTGATTTCATTTAGGCTGAGAAAGTTTTTACCCACTATCATTTAAAATATATTTAATAATTTATCGATTTATAATTTACATATTATAAAATTTACCCATTTTTGTATACAATTCAGTGATTCTCAGTGAATTCACAGCTATGCAACCATCACCATTAATTTCAGAACATTGCCATCACCCTAAAAGGATCCTTATACCCATTTATAGTTACTCCTGGTTCCCATTCTCAGCCCCAGCAACCACTAATCTATTTTCAATGGATTTATCTATTGTAGATATTTCATATACATGGAATCTAACAATAGGTGGTCTCTGCCTTCTCTCACTTGGCATATGTTAATGTTTTGGTGGTTTATCTATGTCATAGCATGTATCAATATTTCATTACTTATTATCACTGAGTAGTATTCCATTGTATGGATATATCACATTTTGTGTATCTACTCACCAGTTGGTGGGCCTTTAGATTGTTTCAAGTTTGGAGCTATTATGAATAATGCTGCTATGAATGTTTCTGTAAACTATGTCCTCATGTGGATATATGTTTTCATTTCTCTTGAGCGGATGCCTAGTAATGGAATGTTGGGCTGGTATGGTAAATTTATATTTAACTTTTTAAAGATACTATCAGGGCGCCTGAGTGGCTCAGATGGTTAAGTGTCTGTCTTCGGCTCAGGTCATGATCTCTAGATCCTGGGATTGAGCCCCATGTTGGGCTCCCAGCTCAGCGGGGAGTCTGCTTCTCCCTCTCCCTTGCCCTCTGCCTCTCCCCCTGCTTGTGCTCTCTCTCTCTCAAATGAATAAATAAAATCTTTTTTTTTTTAAGATTTTTATTTGTCAGAGAGAGAAAGCACAAGCAGGGGGAGCGGCAGGCAGAGTGAGAGGGAGAAGCAGGCTTCCCGCTAAGTAAGGAGCCCAATGTGGGACTCCATCCCAGGACCCTAGTATCATGACCTGAGCCGAGGGCAGATGCTTAATCGACTGAGCCAGCCAGGCATCCCTGAATAAATAAGATCTTAAAAAAAAATACCATCAAGCTCTTTTCTAAAGTGACTGCCATTTTACATCCATACCTGGAATGTTTGAGGGTTTATCATTAAAATTTCTGCTTTTATATTAAAATGGAAACCAAGAGAACCTCTACCGTGGAGTCTAGTCTGTATACACACCCTTTTTTCCTTTGTCCAAGGAAGACCACCACCTAAAACCAAGAAATATGTTTTATTGCAAACCCTTCGCTTCCATTCTAGACATATAAAGATGTGGCTATTTAACAGCAACTGTGACATCAGAGTGCTCTAGCTTTAAATGTAAACATCAGATTCGAGGGCGCCTGGGTGGCTCAGATGGTTAAGCGTCTGCCTTCGGCTCAGGTCATGATCTCAGGGTCCTGGGATCGAGTCCCACATCGGGCTCCCTGCTCCTTGGGAGCCTGCTTCTCCCTCTGCCTCTCTCTCTGTCTCTAATGAATAAATAAATAAAATCTTAAAAAAAAAAAAATGTAAACATCAGGATAATGCCCCTTAAGACAAAGTGGTGTGTGGAGTGCCTGGGTGGCTCAGTTGGTTAAGCCTCCGGTTCTTGATTTCAGCTCGGGTCATGATCTGAGGATCCTGGGATCGAGCCCTGCATCAGGTTCTGCACTCAGCGGGGAGTCTGCTTGAGATTCTCTCCCTCTGCCCCTCTCCCCACTCACATACACACATTTTGAGCTTGCTCACACTCTCTCTCTTTAAAATAAATCAATCTTTTTTTTTTTTTAATGGTGTGGTAGGCAGCCTGTAAGACCACCCTATGTGGGGGCACCTGGGTGGCTCAGTCAGTTAAGCATCTGCCATCGGCTTGGGTCATGATCTCAGGGTCCTGGGATCCAGCCCCGCATCGGGCTCCCTGCTCAGCAGGAAGTCTGCTTTTCCCTCTCCCTCTGCCTTCCCCGCCCACCCCCCCACCCGCTTGTGCTCTCTCTTTCAAATAAATAAATAAAATCTTAAAAGAAAAAAAAAAGACCACCCCATGTGATCCTGTTCTCCTGGTGGTCAGACCCAGTGAAATTCCCACCAATTGAATATGAGCTGGACCTAGTGGCTTCCTTCCAACAAAAAGTTTGAAAAACTCATGGGTTTTCACTTCCAAGATTAGGTTATAAAAAGACTGTGGCTTTTATTTTGGACTGCCTTCTCTCACTCACTTGTTTGAAGGAAGCTAGCTGCCATGGCAAGGAATTGTCCACAGCACAGCAGTGAGGACCTGATGGCTGTCAACAGCCATGTGGGTGAGCTTGGAAATGACTCACCTCCCAGTCAAGGCTTGAAGTGGCTGCAGCCTCCATCAAAGGACCTTAATAGGCTTTGTTAGAGCCCCTGAGCTAGAGATGCTGGACTTAGCCACACCAGATTCCCAGCCCTTTCAATCAGTTTCAAATTGTTTCAATCAGTAAGTTCTGGGTTAATTTGTCATGCAGCAAAAGACAACAATACAGATGAACCAAAAAGTGCATTTCCTATGATTTCCACGTGCATTCAGAATTCTTTAAAGGGGCACCCGGCTGGCTTGATTGGTGGAGCATGTGACTCCTATCTTGGGGTTGAGTTCAAGCTCCACGTTTGGTGTAGAGATTAAAGATAAAATCTTTAAGGGATGCCTGGGTGGCTCAGTGGGTTAAGTGTCTACCTTGGGCTCAGGTTGTGATCCCGTGGGGTCCTGCTCAGTGGGGAGTCTGCTTCTCCCACTTCTCTGCCCCTCCCCCCACTTGAGCTCTCTCATTCTCTCTCTCTCAAATAAATAAAATCTTTTTTTAAAAAAAGATAAAATCGGGCGCCTGGGTGGCTCAGATGGTTAAGCGTCTGCCTTCGGCTCAGGTCACAATCCCAGGGTCCTGGGATCAAGTCCTGCATCGGGCTCCCTGCTCCTTGGGAGCCTGCTTCTCCCTCTGCCTCTCTCTCTCTCTCTCTCTCATGAATAAATAAAATCTTAAAAATAAATAAATAAATAAGATAAAATCTTTAAAATTAAAAGAAAAGAATGCTTTAAAGACAAATGCTGAAATCAGAAATATTATATCCAATAGAATTTAAATTTTTGAATGCTTCCTAAATGATTTTTAGGCAGCCATTTAAACCAAATCAACAAGTGTCACTGGCGAGTTGTCATCAAAGGCAATGAAGAACATTGTTCTGAAAGAGTT